GTACGTAACCCGGGGACTGCCTGTACACATATTTTCATGAACACAAACTCTCTTTATTTAACGAGACTGGGGGAAGGAGGAGGGAAACGAAACGCTGGTGAGACTGGGGAAAGGAGGCGGGAGAGGGGAGAAGAGAAGGTGGGTGAGGGGAGGGGGAAACCTGGGAGGAGGGAGCTGGAAGGGGGCAGCAAGGGGAAGAAGGGTAGGGGAAGCTCAGGGTTGGGAGTCTCACCGGACCAACTTGATTTTAATGCAAACCTGCTCCTGGGTTCACATGTGGCCTTTGTTGGTCAGGCTGGCAGCTATCCTGCCATAGACGGCTGCATTCCTCCGTCTAGTGCGGAGATCATGGACGTTGGAGGCATCCCTCCCAAACCTGAATAAGGTCCATGATCTCCACCCTGGACCAGGAAGGTCCCCTCCTTCTCCGGGCCCTGGCAGGCTCCTGGGAGCTGGCAGACTGCTCCTGGGGAGCAGCGGAGGGCTGGCTGCCAGTGGCTTGCTGGCTCATGTTTTGGGGCCACTGGGTCAGGGACAGTGCCTGCTGGCTCTGGGTTGGCAGGCTTGGACCTGGCACAGACACTGTGGCCAGAGTCACCCTTCAAGGGCTCCAGGGAGGGGGGAGGGAGAGGAATGCTCTTAGTTGAGGCTGGAGTGGCCACCAGGGCATCCTGGGAAAGCTGGAGGCCCCCTATTTCGGTATAAGTGTCTACACAGCACTTATTTCCAAATAGCTATTTCAAATTTGGCATTATTCCTCGTGGAATGAGGTTTACTAAATTCGAAATAAGCACTCCGCTATTTCAAATTTATTTTGAAATAGCGGTTTGGCTGTGTAGACACTAGGAAAGTTATTTCAAAATAACTTTGCTGTGTAGACATACCCTCAGAAACCCAGGACTCACCTTCTCTAAAACTGTCAAACCTTCCTCCCAGTAACCTGACCCCTCCCCCCATCTATTCACCTGCACCTCTGATCAGTTTCCTTGTGTGTTCTTGGTTTCTTGTACTCTACCTCAAAATATACACATTAATTAAAACTCAATCCCTCCCACCCCACCACTCTCTTTTGGTCTAGTCCTAACATCTGGGATATAATCAACTTTTCAGGGGCATCAGATCATCCTATTCACATGGGATTTTCTCACTGTCTCAAATGCCCATCAGCCCCTCTCCTACCTTGGAGGCCATAATCGAGTGGTTAGCATTTGGGAAACCAAGTGCATAATGTTTCTATTGTGCCTTCCCTAATCCTACCTCACAATATAAGACATGTGATTCCAGGAGTTTCACTGCAACGTTTTCTTATAATATAGTCAGCCCTAGCTTAAGGCTACAATTAAAAAGCATCTCCAAGTGTGCTAGACTGCATGTTCTTCAGGATGAATACATGACTAGCACAATATCTAGTTGTACAATGAAGGTGAGGCCTCTAAGTTATGTTCATCTCATGTTCAACATAACTTAAAAAACTGTTTAGCCTGTTAACCCTTATAACAAGCAGCAGTTATAGCACAACAAATCTGCAACACTGATAGATGTATTGGTCAAGTTCTGATGTTCCAGTAGTTTCACAGCACTGTGATTAGAGTGTCTGGAGGAACAGAGAACTATTTATTTTGAACCAAACATAGCCAACTTTCCAGCCCAATGTTTTCTCAAATCATAAGTAGATCTATTTTTAAAATCCTGTTTGTATTTTTGTCCTTTTTGGGAAAAGAGTTCCCAAACATGATTTTTAAAATCAAAATGCGTATACACTGTCATTTCTAAACATGAGTTTTCAGAATATTGTTGAACAAAATGTGTGCATTAACAAACCAAATAAAAAATCCACGTTTCTGCTTAAAATATAATTTTCATGAACACAGTTGAGTGTTTTTTGCTTCTCATTACTTAATTTTTAGAAACCAAGCAGTCACTCCACTGTGCACAGCATATATACGTGGACAGTAAGATGCAATAATGTTTGAAATACCTTGATGTATTCACTCCAGTTTTGCAACAGGATCTGCTGCCCACCTTTTACCCGGCTGAATAGCTGGTATGTCTGGGTGAGATCTGATATTCTGTTTTCATCAAGCAGATTATCAAGTCCTAAAATAAAATTTCAATAATTTAATCTTATCTTTAACTGCAGGCATATCACTAAATTAAAGACAGAACAGAGGGTATGTGGGCTCTGTGACATAATCAATACAATTATAACATTACAGCAGATTTCTTTTGTAAAAAGGAGTTATGATCAGTACTGAAAAGTGTCTCTGGACTAGATCCAAAGGGATTTAGTCACCTAAATGCCACTTTAGGCAGTAAAGTCCAAAATGTAGATCCTCAGTGTAACATAATATTCCATAGGCTTTATGAAAATGTATCTGACTTAACAGATATGCTTAATGCAAAATGGTTCATGTCGGGTATCACTAAAAAGGTTTTGATCTAGTAAACATGATTATCCCATTCATATCCATGTATCATTTTGTAGATGAAGTTAGGAATACTGACTCCATTCCTTTGGTTTTGGCTCAATCCCACTGCTGATACTTCAGGGACTACAATGGAAAAGCCAGATAAAACTTGATGGCTCAACAGTTAGTACAATGGACTCTGAAAAGGCTTTGCCTTCCATAATGCTACTGACTCATGGCTGATGACAGAGTCAGGTGATTTGGTCACCTGAAACTAACCAATTCCTTCGTCTGATAAAATGTTCCACATGAGTATTCAAACAAAGGTTTCCCACCTTATGGAAATTCTACTTAAGGCAGGAAAGGAAAACAACAATTGTCTTTAGCTCGCTTCAACTTTGCTTCCCCACCCCAAAAGATACTTGCAAACATCTGGGAACAAAAAGAACTGTAACTAAAAGGGTGGGGGAAAGTAAGTAAGAAAGTATTAATAGTAGCCATCTTCTTTAGTGAATCTGGGAAGACCTGCTGGGATAGTGAAGGATTCTATCTGAAATAATGTCTAGAGTAAGAAAGTACTAATAGTAGCCATCTTCTTTAGTGAATCTACTTAGATTGCATGGTATGTATTATTTTCTTAGTAATCTGTTTTGTTCTGTTTGCTACCTCTCTGACCACTTGAAATACAGCTTTTCTTGCAACTGAAGTGCCTCATTATGGAGAAATCTCTCTTCCTGGCTTCTCAGCTCAAATCATGGACCCTCAGGACACTGGTATCTTATGGCAGCCTCTGACAAAGGTTCTCCTCCACTCTCGCAGGCAAAAAAGTACTCCGCCAAGAAGGCAATAAAAAAAGCGGACTCCAAACTTAGAAGCTCATTTACCGACTCGGCAGACCCCATCACTACCAACCATGCCAAGACATTGCAGGTCCCAGATAGATACTACAGGAGCACAAGACCCTAAGCTGACTAGCTCAGACAAAGATAGCAAAGGGAAATCAATAGTGTCAGAGCCGATAAGGCAGGAGTATATAAAATACAGTCTGCAGGCTGGATCCGTCCCACCAAACATTCAAATCTGGCTCACCACAATATTCTGGGCCACCATTGTCCTGAGGCACAGCGGGACCCTCGGACAGATTTCCTACCTGCTGTGCCCCCAGATGCTGCTCCAAGTGGCCAGCTGCTCAAGCCAGCATGGGTGTGTCTGCGCAGAGTATGCACATCGGAAGAAGGCCTGCACGTGCTGCCCCTGCCCCCAGCACAATCCAGAGGCCCTCTTCTCCCCAAAGGGTGTGCCATACAAAGATGCACACAGTGGACCCAGCAGCTGGCCATTTTGCGTGGCATGTGGCGGTACAGCAGATGGTGAGCCTGCCTGAGTGTTCCGCTAGACTACTGGCTGAGAACCGACCTACACTAAGCATCTCCTGGACAGAGCCTGCAGTTGTCACCCCCTCCTGCCCTGGTCACAACCTCCTTTCTGCCCCTCAAACTCCTGGCCCAGGTCACAACCCAAACCCTCTGCACTCCCTCCTGCATTGCTGCCCAGGTCACAACACCCTCCTACCCCTGGTCGCAACCCAAACTTTCTGCACCCCTCCTACACTGCTTCCCCAGGTCAAAATACTCTGTTCCCAAACCCCCTTCCATACCCTGGACCCCAATCCTGTGTTCCTGGTCATAACTGTAGAGTATGAGAATCTGTCCTTCAGTGTAGATTACAAGAGTTAAGAAAGATATACCTTTTTGCAAAATAGCTGTTAAGTGTTCTCCTAGTAATTGCTTCTCCACACAAGCAATTAGTAGTTTCCTATATAAGGCAATAAAGAGCAAGTAAGAAATACTGCACAGTTTAAGGAGATTACTCTCTTATCAGGATACCTATGTGAATAACTCCCATCATTAAATGACAAAACATCAAAAAATTACAGTTTATTTTAATTTTGCAGTCTGTATTTTACATAAACAAAACATTCTTATAGATAAACAACATAAAATGCTGCAAAAATATATGCATTTAAGAAATGATAGTTTTATTTATATTAATTTAAAAAGTAAAAGCTCTTACTATTATTCATAACACTTAATCTTTAAAACTGTTCTAATTTTTAATATTTCTTATCTTTTTTCTATAAAAAGAAAAAGTAAATGGTTCTAAGCTAGAACCTCAAAACCTTTTTCTATAAAAAGAAAAGTAAATGGTTCTAAGCTAGAACCTCAAAACCCAACAACCCACATTAGCATGGTTCAAAATTGAAACTCAAATTCTGAACTAAGATTTCGTAGTTAAAGCAGCATACTTATGAGCTGAACGGAAATCCAGTATCAGACCACCAAATTCTGGAGGAAGATATTAAACTTGGTTCTGAATTTTGCAATGTAGGCTCATCTCTACTTTCCACCCATAATGCAGATTACTTACTTGCTGCATTTGACGGAGACTGGTCGGTTTCCTTTTCTGGGTTTTATGTATTACTGAAGTGGTGCAATATTTAGGTTGCAAATACTGCTGAACATTGTCAGCAATTTTTCAACGTACCATAAAGCAAACCAACCAAACAAAAATGCTAGCTTTATTCTAATATATTGCAAGCTCATAAATCACAGAATAATTGTATTGGTCTTAAGATTTATAAAACCTAATTTAATAGTTTAAATTGACCTGACATTTATTCCTGATATACAGTGTCATACTCATGTTGGTCCCAGAAGGTGCATCTACACAGCACCGTTACCTTAAAATAAGCTAAGCAATTTGCGCTATGCAAATTGCATAGTTTATTTCGATCTTATTTTGAAATAGCTTATTTCAAAATCTGATGCTGTCTACACAGCGCCAAATTTCAAAATAAAGTACTATTCTGAAATGTCCCTTATCCTTTGTGCAGTGAGGCTTACAGGAATGTCGGAATAGCGAGACTATTATATTTCAATATAACGAGCTTACTCTTAAGGCATGGAATAGCTATTTCGGGATACTGGAGGTATCCTGGATAACTCTGCTGTGTGGACATAGCCTTGGAGAGCAGGAACAATTAGAGTTATTTTTGTCCCTGAAAGATCATATCTATCCCAAGTACAAATCTAATTAGGGCTGCCAAATAATCACTGTTAACTCAAACGATTAATTCAAAATTGTGATTTAAAAAAACAGATTAAGTGCAGTTTTAATAACTTTATATTATTTATTTGCACTGTAAAATGATGAAAAATAGTATTTTTCAATCCTCCTTATACAAGTACTGTACTGCCATCTCTTTATCACTGAAGTGCAACTTACAAATATAGATTTTTGTTACATAATTGCCATCCAGGCTTTTTTATTGTTTTTTTGGTAACAAAACTGGGGCATTTGTCCCACTTGCTATTGCCAATTGGTCACCAGCTGGCAAGAGTGAACTGAACAAAAACACAGTTTTTGGTACAAAACTAGGATG